TGGAGCGTCGAAGGTCTTTGGTCTATTGGGGAAGAACGAAGAAGAGAACTGGAAAAGTAGGTGTCTGAGAGAGTGAGTCCGAGAGAGAGAAAGCTCAGAGAGAGAGAGGGAAAGAAAGGGAAAAGGGAAAGGCGCGGCAGGTGTTAGACAGGGTATACGCCAGTCTACCAGACTGGCGAACTGAAACCTGAAAGGATGAAAGTCTTAGTTTGGCAGTCTGAACACTCTCAAACTGCCAAACTTTTTTATTAGATTTTCAAAAAAAATAAAATATAATATATATGTAATATTATATAAATATATATTACTGTATATATATATATATATACTTATATATATATATATATATCAGTCGGTTCGGTTAACCGCCGAGTTTTTAAAATGGTTAACTGAAACTGTCAATTTTTTGAAAACATCGAACTGAAACCGAACCGACTAGTTCGGTTAACCGATTTTTTGGTTTGGTTTTGGTCAGTTCAGTTTTTTAGTTTTTTTTTTTGCTCACCCCTAGCCATGTCAACTTTCATGGCCGACTCCCTTGGGCCATGCTAGCACCACATACCACGGCCACATGACAAAAGGACATGCCAAGGACATAGAATTCTACACGAACAAGGAGACACGCTTCACCAAGGGAGAGGTAGCCTCCCTAATACTTCAAAAGGGAACCTTACCATGGCAACTCCAGAAGCCTAATCTGACTACGACACGGATGCTTGGCTATATACAGGCACCTCCAACTCAAGGTAAAGGACTTTTGACTCTTGACTCACCTCAACACCCCTTTTGCCATCATATCGGCTCGAACCAGCACTATTCTGCCATGCTCATCTTGATCGATTCCTTTCTCTTACTAACTTGAGCATCGGAGTGCCTACCCAAGGAATAACTCCTTAGACCTTTGACCCTTTTGTGGTTGCATATCTCTACAAAGCACGACTTCGTCCTTCCACCTCGAATTCTCTAATTGGCAAGATTATCTGACTGTCTTCGGTTTGAGACACCTCAGATTGGATAGCATCAGATTGGCACCATTTGTGGGATACGCACAAAAAGCCGATTCTCTAACCTCCTACTGTACGCCAAAGATAACAATGCCTAGAAATACCTCCGACTGCTCTAGAGTCCGCTCCCCATCTCGGGGATCTTGCTTACTCCATAGCTCTCCACATCGAGAGCCCCAACTTCAGACGATGGTCGATCCCACCTAGTTCAATGCCATGCAGCAGAAGGTTGATCACATACTTGCCATGATGAAAAAGTTGGGATAATCAAGACAAGTTCCCTTAGCCACTCACCCTACCGCGCAGGTGCCCATGATGGCCGATCCTCGTCTCGAGGACCTCAAAAGGCGCCCTACAAATCAGCCAAAGACCTGATCAGACTACGAGCGCCCTCAATAGTCTCGGAGGTTTGACTCTTAACCGCAGACCCGAGCCAACGACGTCCACAGTCAATCTCATCACTCCAACTCTAGGATCCTCGTCAAGGAGCAACTTGCCCAACGCTCACACTACTCACCAATCTAATTGGCTGAGTCCAGCTCGGTTTGAGCCTGAAAAGCAGTACCCAAGGTGGAGAAGTCAACAAACATCAGCCAAGTAGACTGGGACGAGGAGATCAAGGACCTACGGGAAAGGTTGGATGAGCTGGAGCGCAACCAAGCAAACCATAGCATGACCCCTCCTACACTCTGATTAACAGAACAACGCTCCACAAAAGAGCTTGTCGTAGTGCAAGAGATCATAATCGAGCTCCCTCTCGTCGGAGGGTGACCCCCGTAGTTCGAGAAATACAATGGGACCTTAGAGAAGGCACAAGCTATTAAGTTTTATGGGTGCCTTCTTTGGCTACAATCAAATTCAGATGCACCCAAACAACCAGGAGAAGACTGCCTTCATCACGGACAAAGGTCTCTACTATTAAAAGGTCATGCCCTTTGGCCTCAAGGATGCCGACACCACTTATCAAAGGCTGGTGAATCATATCTCCAAGGAACAGCTCGGCTAGGCCATGGAGACATACGTAGACGACATGCTAGTGAAGAGTAAGAAAGTAGAGCAACACTTGGTTGACTTGGAGGAAGTCTTTGGCCTCCTTAGTATGGCATGAATTTGGATCCAATGAAATGCACCTTCAAGGTCGGATCTAGCAAGTTCTTGGTCTTCATGGTCACACAGAGGGGAATCAAAGCAAACTAGGAGAATATCCAAGCAATCCTAAACATGCAGTCACTATGGACACACAAAGAGGTGCAACGTCTTGCAGGCTGAATAGCCGCGCTAAGCAGATTAATGTTAAAGTCCGCAGATCAATGCCTATCTTTCTTTAAAGTGCTAAAGAATGTGAAAGATTTCCAGTGGATTGAACCCCAACAACCAACTCCTGGTTTACCTCTCTGCTGGGGACGAGGTAGTAAGATCGGTTATGGTAAAGGAAGTAGGCCAGGTCTAGAAGCCGATCTAYTACACCAACAAGGTCCTCACGGACGTAGAGACATGATACTTGAACATAGAAAAGGTCACCTTGGCCCTTGTCTCCTTATCCAGGAAGCTCAAGCCCTATTTTGAAGCACACAGCATGCAAGTCCTGACCAACCAACCATTGAAGCAAGTACTTCAAAGGCCAGAAACGTCAAGACGGACGATCAAGTGAAGCATGGAGCTGAGCGAGTTCGACATCGACTATGCACCTTGGCCCGCCATCAAAGCCCTGGCCTTGGTCGACTTCTTGGTCGAATGCACGTTCTCAATCCAGGATCCAACCGAAGGCCCCCTAGCTTGGACTCTCCATGTCGACGAATTGTCCAACCGATAAGGGAGCAATGTTGGTTTCATACTCCTCAAACTCGACGACACCGTTCTCGAGCATGCATTATGGTTCAAATTCAAAGTGTCAAATAATCAGGTGGAGTACGAAGCCTCGATAGTCAGACTTAACTTGCACGGGGTGTCAGAGCAAAGCGAATTGAAGCCTTCAGCGACTCCCAGCAAGTAGTGAGCCAAGACATCAGCTAGTTTGAGGCACGAGAACCCACCATGTTGAGTTATCTATAGAAGGTGCAAGTGTTCATCGCCTAGTTCAAGCACTTTGCCATACAACAAATACCTAGGGCTGAAAATGTTGGAGCTGATGCCCTATCCAAGCTTACAAACTCACCGCGGACCAACCTCAGGACTACAATTAGGATGGACACCCTAGCATAGCCCAACATCTCATAAATAGCTTTGGTGGTCCTCCTAGTGCAGCAAGAACCATCGTGGATGGACCCAATCCTGTGCTACCTACAAGATGGCACCTTACYCGAATATCGGACCGAAGCGAAGAGATTCACTCACAGGCCATCTTGGTACTGCCTCATTTAGGATCAGCTCGATCGAAAGCCGCACACTCTTCCCTATGTGAGGTGTCTTCCAAAAGTGTGACTGTTGTCAAAGGCACTCAAACCTACATCACCAACCAGCAGCCCCTCTAATGCTGATCCCTAGCCCGTGGCCCTTTGCTCAATGGGGATTGGACATCCTCAAAGCCTTCCCCACCACGACCAGACAAAAGAAGTACCTCCTCGTCACCATAGATTACTTCACAGAGTGGGTCAAAGTCAAGCCACTGGCATGCATCACCACACAAAATGCCCAAGGCTTCCTTTGGAGGAACATCATCTGTTGCTTCGGCACCCACTGGGTGCTCATCACTAACAATGACTCTAAGTTCATTGATAGGAAGTTCAAAGCTTTCTACATCGGGGTCAAAATAGACCATCGGACAATAGTAGTACACCGACCAAAGAGCAACGGACATACCGAAGTGACTAATCGAAATTTGTTGCATGGTCTAAAGACAAGACTCAACAAGGCCAAAGCCATATGGGTGGAAGAGATACCGAGTCGAGCATCCTCTAGGCCTATAGGACTACACTAAAGACAGCTACTGGGGAGACCCCATTCAGCCTAGTGTTCAGAGCCAAGGTGATGATCCCCATAGAGATTGGGTCCCCCACACTCCAAACAATGCTCTACAATGACAAAACGAACAATAAGGACCTTCAAGCTGAGCTCGACTTGGTAAAAGAAGCTTGATAGAGCACATATCAGGATGGTAGCACAATAGCTCATCCTTCGCAAATTCATCCTACTTGAACCAAGAGAAGGGAAACTTGGGCCAAATTGAGAAGGAACAGAGTGACTAGAGTGCTTGGACCGAGCTTTTATAAGTTCGAGGACCTCGACGGAAGACCTATACCAAGGAGTTAGAATGTCGGGAACCTAAGAATGTACTACCTATAATTTGTGTCGAGCAACAACGCTTGTACGCCAGTTCAATCAATAAAGTTTATCTTCTTCAAACATAGATCCACTACACACACACGAAAGTGTTGCACACACTAGCTCAACCAAGCTTCAACAGCTGAGGACATGAGATCACCGCATGCTCACACAGGCCCACCACATGCATTGACTGAGCTGAGTTTAAATGGTCTCAAAAATGCAACAACCTCGTCAAAGACCCGGCCAACCTTGAACGGTCGAGGCCCCACAACAAACTAGCCCTAACTAGGCACTGCGAGAATGGTGCCTCCACCACACATGGATGGAGGGTGGGTACTGAACTCTATGCTTGAAGCTAACCTCACCAAAGACTCTTGAGCACCTACCCATCTTGATGATGGGACAGAGCCAACTGAAAACAATAGCTAGCCCGGCCACCAAGATTAGAACGAGACCAAGTTTCACCGAACTCCTTACCGTGACAACTGAGAACTTGGAAACACTTCGACCAGCGCAAGCCAAAAAAAAAAACATGAGTGCCTCTACTAAACCAATTACCACCGAGCTCCATACCGCGGTGATTGAGAGCTTGGAAAAACTTCGGCAACCAAGCTCCCCCGTGCAAAGAGCAAGAGCTCAAAACTGCTCAGGCCGTCCTAGAACCTGAAGTGGGTCCACTTAACCTATCAATCAAAATCAAATGAATACTAAATAGAGGTTGGTCGACAAAAAGGGAAATTTCCATTAACATTCAAGTCTAATACAATGTTGGAAAGCTCAGCATACCGAGCTAAATACATCAAAGTAAAAAGAAAAAAAAAAAAAAAAAAGAGGAATGGGTAGACAACTGCCATCATCAACTCTCTTTAGCCACATCGTCGGCACAAGTCTGCTCCTCGAAGACAATCACGGGATTTGGTTGTGTGGCCTGCTCTTTGTGCCCTCCTTGGTGTCAAAAGAGCCCAACTTCTCCACCATGACCACCACCTCGAGGTACAAGTCCAAGACTCCTTTTACACCATGCAAAACAGATCTTCTAGGAGTTAGTAGCGTAGTTGTCGAGCTAGATTTGGAATGCCTCAGACTTCTTATACTTCATGATCGCCTCCTCCTCAACATGGAATAGCTTTGCCTCGACCTTATCAGCCACTTTTCGCACCTTGTCACGGGCCTCCTTGAGCTCACACACCCGGCCCTTTGCCTTCCACAAGTTGTTGTCATTTCCCGCCATGGCCTTCTTTAGTTCGGCCATCTCTGCATTCAATAGAGAGTTCTCCACCTCCCATGCCTCGACCATCTACCGAAGACCATGCTCTCGATTAACTAATGTCATTACAACGCAAATGGCTTGAAAAACACCAAGTCAATGAGCACAACAAGAAAAACCAAAGAAGAGAAAAGGAGGTAAAAATACGATACCATAATGGGTTTGCGGATGGTCACACTCTCCAGCACACTTGTTGTCGTGCGCATTGCAGATGCCTCCCCTCTGAGCCGACCTCCACTATGTCACCTTTCGYAGGCCTCGGCCTCTTCAATTTCCGAGGAGTAGTCTCGCCGAAGCGTCGCCACTGCTGAGCTGCCCCTGACAACTATGCAGCCGCCTTTCACAGCGCAACGACCTACATATGTCGCACCCTTTCCTCTTCACTACCCGCCATGATAATGTCTGCCAAATGAAAGACAACGATTAGTCAGTGCCGAGGAAGACAACAGACGAGGTGTATTCTTGTACATGCACCCTCGCAATCCGTCGGATGGTCACAACTCCTCTTTGGACAGCTCAGCCTCGGTTGGCACCTTCACCTTACTCTTTGGAACTGACAGCTCGGTAGGGAATGGCCTGCCCCCCTGGCGGTGCATGAAGAAGAACCCCTCTTTTTAGTGCTTCACCGAAGAGGGGGCCTCCACAAGCACCTTGGTATTCTACCAAGTTGAGTAGTAGTAGCCTTGTTGGTGCTTCTTCAGGTGTAGAAAATACGTGAACATTGGCAGGGTGATGTCCACGTCATGGATCATGCAATAGCGGAGGAGCCCGACGAGGTACCTAAAGGAATTTGGCATGGGTTGGACAAGCTTGGACGTGGTGCCACCTCAACACAGTTACAATCCCAACGTTCAAAGGAAACCTCATCCCGACTATCAGGTTATGTTCATAAATACAAAGCTCGCCAGGGCGAGCTAAAGTTGCCCATTTACCTACTCTGAGACACCTTATCTTGTACTCTTCGGGAATGTAGTACAACTCTCTAATACGAGCTAGGTCCCGAGGTGTTAAGCTATATGGGGAAGAAGCAAAACAGTCGCCAAACCGCGAAGAAGTGCTAGGTCTCTCATTGGACACTATCTCTACATTGACATCAACCTTGTCGATTTCCCTGACCTTAGCCTCCTGGGAACCCCAGCCTCCTCTGTCGCGGCACCCTCGTCTCCATGTCCCTCAACCACTGCCTCATGGGCATCGATCTTGTGGACCATGAGCACAATAGCCTCTGGATGAGACCCCACGAATTACTAGAGCAAGAAGAGAAGAGGACGAAGAGGACATCTTAACAATGTCGAAGAGCGTGGAACACTTGAAGCATCTGTCAAGGACTAAGCACCTGCCAAACCAAGGTTTAATGTCAAAATAGCTACAAATAATGTATAAATACATAAGAATTGTATATTTTGACAATATATATGAAGAAATATATTACAATTAATATAGAAAAATGCATAAATATCATACAATTTTATTGATATGCATTAATCAAGATGTCAAGAAACATATTATATAGATTTTTACAAATTAATACATGCACAAAGCCATTATTATATTATTTTATATTAAAGTCCAAGGCACAAAACATACACAACTATTATATTTCAATTATTATATCATTTTTTCTATTTTACTATTTATAACTTTTAACATTAACAAAAATGTTAACTAAAAATTAATTCTCAAAATTTTGATAAACAATATTTTCATTTTTGTAAACAATAAATATTTTATTAATTTAATGCAAATCAATTTTAATTGATAATTTATAAAAATATATAATCCTAACTTAAAACATATCAAATCCATTTAAATTTCAAAGATATATATTATATGAAAATTCACAAATTTTAATTACTACAATAATTATTTCATTATTAATATTTTTATTTTTATAAATTTCTAAAATAAAAAATAAGTTGTAATATAAATATAGATTAGTGGATTTGATAGATTCAATTTATATTACGTTTTTAAACATTTTATAAATAATATTTTTATTTTTGTAAATAATGAATACATGGTTATTTAATGAAAATTAAAATATTAATTAATAATTTATAAAAATTTTGAGATATATATCATGTGCAAATTAATAAATTTTAAGTATTAAAATAATTATTATATTATTAATATTTTAAATTTTCTTTAAATTAAAAATCAAATTTTTGATATAAATGTGGATTTGGTAGATTATTTATTCTATTGGTTTATAAAATATTAATTTTAAATATTATTCTTTTTAATTTGTAATTGGAGTTGTTGAAGATAAGTGTATGTTGGTTGTTGGGATTTTGTGTTGATATTAAGTAATAAAAGTTAATGTATTCCATTTATTGACATGAAATAAATGTTGGCTTAGTTGTTAAAGATGCATTGTTATTGGGCGCTAGGCGAGTTGTGGTCTTGAGTTCAATATTGGGCATATTGATATTTTAATCCTTGAGGGAGAGGCAACCTCCCTAATACTTCGGAAGGGAACCTCACCCTRACAACTAGAAGCCTAATCCAACTATGACACAGATGCTCGGCTATATATAGGCACCTCCCACTCAAGGTAAATGACTTTTGACTCTCGACTCACCCAACACCCCTTTTGCCATCACATCAGCTCGAACCAACGCTATTCTACCCTGCTCGTCCCAATCGATCACTTTCTCTTACTGACTTGAGCATTAGAGTGCCTACCCGGGGAATAACTCCTTGGGCCTCTAACCCTTTTTGTGGTTGCAGATCTCTTCGATGCACAATTTTATCCTTTCACCTTGGATTTGTCTAATTTTACATTGCGTTGGGCTCGAGCCCATTCAAACTTTAACAAATTCTCAATCAGGCCCGTTCATTTTTTAATGTTCTATATTATTTAAAAAATTACATAATTTACGTTAATAATTTTTAAGAAGTTAAAACCATTGAATTAATTTTCGATAATTTACAAAATTAAAAAGAATGAAATATAAAAAATAGATTGAGTGATTAAAATATAATATCTTTGATTTGTGGCTTGGACTCTGATTTATGAATCTTGTACATTTTGTGGACCTTACATTTTTTAAATTAATCATATAACAAGTTGGCCCAAGTATTTTGAGTAAAATTATTCTATGATATCTACGTGTTCTGGGCTCCTAATACTGTTGATTGCAATGTTTTTTTTTCATATAAATTATTAATGCATGCATTTTTTATACATTTATACCTAATTCATGGTTATATAAATCTTAGTTTTAGATTTATCAATATCCTTGTGGGATTTGTAGAAAATTTCTTGATATATCTAGAAATATCTATGTCTTTTTTTCATTATATCCATGCGTATCCAAAGCAGATCACGATGTATCATCATAATGCATATCTATTTCAAGCATACTAAGCAATATAAATATCCTTTGAGCAATCTTGTTTATTGGTGGGGAAAGATAAAAAATAAAAAAATAAAAAAGTTTGTCTACACTTTACAAGACCTATAACTAACATGTTCATTTATTTAAAAGATGGTCCAAACCAAATATAAAAACAGCTGCGCAATAACAACAAATCCATGGCCATTTATATGAAAGAGACAAGAGGTTTCAGCGCTCTAAGGAAGTTTAAAACACATTAATCTAATCACATATTATGTATTTTATAATGCAGTCTTGATCCCCGTGTAGACCCATGAGATTTATCATACTTTACTTACTCAACATGTCGATAAATTAATGCCATTTTGAGACTCTCCATCTACCTCTCAAGTCTCAAGTGTATTTACTACCAAATAAAAAATTATCCTTAAGGTTTAGGAAATTGACTTGACTAACTATACTCTTACAGTTTCAGTATTGTCTTAAAGTATCCCTACTGTTTCAATCAATTGACTAAATCTTCCTTACCGTCAATGTCCATTAACAGAAAGATTAAAAAGACTATTTTGTCCATCATTCTTCTTTAAATTTTTTAATGTCGATTCTTGTCTTCCATAGTCTCTTCCACTCCGTCTTCCATTAAATTGAGCTCCAGTCTGCAATTTTTCCCAAATCTCAACGGGCACTGAGATTTAACCAATCTTCTCTCTCTTTTCTTTTCTTTCCTTCAAATTCTATTCATAATTTGCATCAACTTTCTGATGTCGTTGGTGATCAAAACCTGTGGAGTGAAGAACTGTATTCTAACCTCTGGTTCTGGATTGGTATGAGTGGTGGTTTTACTCTTCTGTTAAAGTTGACAACAATCTGAGATTTTTCCCAGTCTCTCTCTCCGATCTACGATTTGAGCTCCAGTCTGCAATTTTTCCCAAATCTTAGCGAGCACTAAGATTTGCCCAATCTTCTCTCTCTTTCTCTCTTCTTTTTTTTTTCTTCAAACTTTATTCAAAAAAAGATGAGTTTCATTGCACTCACAAAGAAATCATCCCAAATCAGCTCTCAATCTATGATCAGATTCCACCCTCAAAGAGGGAAAAAGCTGGTGGGAGAGGGAAAAATTGGGTTGGGAAGCAATTGAATAACAAAGCTCTCAAATAACAAAGTAGAGAGAGAGAAAGACTGAGAAATAAGAGTTCTTGTTCAATTTGAATAACAACTTTTGGCACTGCAACTTTTCCCTTCATTCAAAGCTCTCTCTTTTCCTTCTATTTTTTGACGCCAAAATTGCCGCCACCACTACAACTTTCGGCAAAGGCAGCGATCTTCTTCTTCCCCATCCCCTTCAGCTCTGTGTTTGGATCTGCCAAAATCACCGCCGCCGCTGCAACTTCCAACAAAAGCGATGGTGTTCTTCCTCTGCCCCCTTCCCCTCTTCGTTCTCCCTCTCCACTTCCCCTCAATCATTAATCACATCGTTAATGGTCTTCACCACTGTTAACAACCGTTGTTAATGCTTTGGCTAGAAGTCCGAACCTGTCCTCCACTATCACCACTTGCAGATCAAGAAACAAAAAAAAAAGACTTGGTAAACAACAGAGAGTGGAGAAGGGAAAGGAAGAAGAAGAAAATAAAGGAAGGGTTACCCAGATTGAAAATGCTGGAACTTATTGGATAATAGAGGTGCTCGGAGAACCAAAACCTGAGTTTCAAAGGTTTTTACAGTTAGCTGAGATTCAGAGGATGAGTTTCCATCTCTCTTCCAACGCTGTTCGTTGCTAGCTGAGATTCAGAAGAGAAAAAAAAACTCACCTGAAATCAATCGGACCTTATACTTGCTCCCTCAATAACCAAACGGTGACAACAGGCACACGGCAAACGTGACATCAAAGGCGGAGATGGAGTTGCAGATCTAGGTTTGCTAACGGCAAGTCGCTCACTCGCCTCTTTTATCTCCTGATGCTTTAGTTCGTGAAGATCCCCTGGGTTTTGCTGCTGCATCCTTGTAGATTTGAGATGAGTTGCAGAAGGGGAAGAAGGAGAGAGAGAGGCCAGAGATGAAGGGGTTCAATGCTAGGGGAAGAAGAATGAAAATGTGAAGGGTAAACTTGGGTTTAAAAACTAAATATAAGTCACATGGTGTCATGTGTATGAATTTTGATGGAAAGATAATGGTAAGGGTAGAGTTAGTCAATACTGAAACAGTAAGGGTATAGTTAGTCAATTTTCTAAACCTTAAGAGTAATTTAAGAAATTTGCCCTATTGACTCTGTGGTTGTTAGATTATTAAATTGATACAAACCTGCCTGTACCTCATCAATTAGGTAAAAAGAGGTCAATTGATCATGGCCAACATTGTGCGCCACCACCTAGGACACCTGGGCCCAAGCTAATGTCGTCTGATTAGCATAACTATCTGATTCATGTACTCAGCAATGGTCCTATATAAACATCAAACCATCATTAGAGCATCCAATCGCCCGATCACTTGGCCGGGAACTTTGGACTAACCAAATCGCAATACATTCTCTAGCATTCACATTTGGCTTCTCTTGTCTGCATTGCATCTCAGAGTTGGTTTAAGACAAGATGTCATAGAGAAGATGTAGGATATGAAAACAATATTTATTGTATTAATTTTAATTTGTTAAGATGAATGGGGCCAGAAACCATAGGGTGAAAGTCATAAGAAATGATTTAAGTGCCCATAATTTAAACAATGGATATGATACTGAACAGAATGGTATGGCAAAACAGGATTCATGTAGCCAACCTCATATAATTGGGGCAAGGTTTAGATGACAATAATGATGATGATGAGTTTAATTTGTTTTGAACTCCAACAAGAGTCTTATTTACAAGTATTCCTTTCAAGCCAATCTAATTTATAATAAAAGACACAAATGGCTACAGCTACAACTGAGAGGTGCTGAATTACATGGCCAAATAGTGACTTGAAAACTAAGATATAACAACAATAAACCTTTCAAAAACATCTTATGTACAAAACTTGCATATGGGAGAAAACAGCAAGATCCAATGCTTTGGTAAGCATGTAGGAGAAAACTTGCATTTGGGACCAATCAAGCTTCCCCGGTGTCCATGCTTTTGGTAGGTTTCTTTTCGCGAGGAAGAAATAACAGGCACAACCAAAACCAGAAGCTTTTCTTCTTTAATGGTTGAGATTTCACATTTTTCTTCAGGACAAGATCAGCCATGTACTGAACCACTGCCTGTTGAATGGAGATGCAGTTAGTAACTTCGACAGAACCAAGTATTGTTTTACATTGGTTTTCTTCTGCAGGTTTAGATATATCATATATGACTTCAAACGGTGACAATTGACAAACCACCACCTAATTGAGCCATAAACTCAAACCTATAAAGCTAAGTGCTTTGAATCAACATTACCTGAGCACCCAATTTGGTAACTTGTCTTGGTGACACTTCTAACGGAGTCTCATCTGCATGAAATACTCTCAACTTTGACAGGAACCTGAAAGACTCTGGTAAGATTCTTATCTGGTTGTTACTTATATCCAACTCCTCAAGCATCTCAAGGTTGCCAATTGATTTTGGTAGAGCTGTCAGGTCCACAAAATTCCTCCCAACATTCAATTTCACAAGATTGGTAGCAAAACATAAGCTCTCTGGTATCAACTCAAGTTCATTGAAACTGACATCGAGTTCCTTCAGCTTGGAAAGATTACCCACTGTTGTAGGCAACCCTTTGATTCTGTTATAGTGCAAAGTTAGTATCTCTAAATTCTCAAGCTTCCCAATTGCCTCAGGAAGCGCCCTAAGTTGATTAAAGTCTAATCTCAGCTCCACAAGTGACAAGCAAGACCCAATTGTATAAGGGAGTTCTTCAAGCTCATTTGTTTCCACAATCAATATTTTCAATTTCGTTAGGTTCCCCACTATATCTGGAAGTAGGGTAAACTGGTTTGAACTCAAATCAAGATCATCTAGATTAGTGAGGTCCCCAAACGAAGCTGGCAGAGATTTTAACCTGTTTCCATGCAGGTCCAGATCAGTCAGATTGACTAGATCTCCAAATGAGACAGGAAGGTTTATCAATTGGTTTGAGTGGACATCAAGTTTTGTCAAGGCTTTGAGGCTGCCGATGGAGTTTGGAAGAGCCATGATTTGATTCTCAGATAAATTTAACTCTGTCACATTGCATAACTTCCCAATTGATATTGGAAGCCACTCAATCTTATCCATCAACCTGCCTTGTAAGTCAAGAACAAGAGCTCCACTGTTAGAGCAGGTTTCTATTAGGCCAGCAACTTTCATTAAACTCAATTTCTCAGTGCCTTCTTCACCTACAGATACACCCCAAACTACATTCAGAAATACTTCAAATACTCCAAAACCACATGGGTAATTAGCAGTGCAATGAAAAATAACTAATTCATCAAGATAGAATAAAAGGTTCAGGAGAATTATCACTTCACATTCCACTAACGGGGTGAGAATGTATTCCAATTTTAATCAGGTAGATAATTAGTTCCAAGTGTGTTTATAGTGTATCAGAACAAACATCTGCAATTTCTCCTAATTTCTAGAAAAAATTAAAGGAAGATCTTATAACCTATCAATCTGAAAATAGATTTGACGTCTGATCGAAATCATATATTCTTCTAAAATCTAGATAGGTAGCAAGAATTGGAACATTTTTCTTTTCTTTTTTTTTTTGTTTGTCTTAACAGAGCAAATAGATAGATTAAACGCCCCATTCTACTTTCCTAGAATCAAATACATAAGCAGATATTTCTTCTTTATCTTTTAAAGATATAATGCTCCAAATCATATGTATTAATTAAAGACAAGTTTCTATGCATGTATGAGAGAAAAAACAAAAAGATGATATACCAGAAACTTCATAATAAAAAACATAAGAGAACTTAGCAAGGAGAAGAATCGTATCTGACCTGAAGCTAGGCCAGGCTGGACAGCCTTCGAGGAATAGCTACGGACCAAACCCTTGGCCACATCTGATTCCTTTTTTAATTCTGTCCCTTCATCCTCCTTTTTCTTGGCCAAGCTCTCCTCAGTAAAACCAGCAATGGTATCTCTTTCAATTTTAGTAATTGGAACAACCAAATCCACATTTTTCTGATTCTGGGTATCTCCAGAAACCAACTCAGAAGCTCTTTGAATTAGCTCATCGAAGGTCTGAAAAATCTTGTCAAGATCAATAAGGTAAAGAGCTTCTTTCCTCTGTTCATGGCTCTGAAGCAAAACCGTGTTCTTCTTTGCTTCCTGCAACACAGCAAACAGCTCATCTGGAACATCTGGGGGTTTCTCTTCTTTGGATATTTCAGAAAGCCTCAACTGCTCTTCACTGTTTACAGTTCTGAGAACAGACATGGCTGCTTCAACCTCCTCCAAGGTAGGTCTAGGTGGTAGTGACCTGAAGATTCTCATAATCTCATCGATAGACTCTAGAACAGCAGGTGATGGATTCTGTATGGGTGCCACAGCCATGTCCCTGATTTTGGCTTAGACCAGATAAAACAAAAATTAAAAAAGCAAGAATTGGGCCTTGAGGGGATGCCGGTGCCGGTGGTGGATGAGAAGGTAGAGCCAGCCAAGGGGGTGTTACTGTTATGGGCTTGCAGAGTTGCAGGGTTTTACGAAGGAAGAGTTGGAGATTGTTTTTGAGTTAATAAAATCGACCTGAACAGAATGTTCATCTTTGGACATCTAATGAACTACATTATTGTTTTTATAGATGGTAATTTCCATATATAAGAGAAGACGCAGAGTCACAGAGACGCAAGAAAACCCCGTTGTCCCTTTGCCGAAGATAAAGGGGTTGTTTGGCAATTATTTTTTAAAAGATTTTCTAGTAGTTTTAACAGTCAAAAGATATATTGAGCTTTTACATTAAGAGATCTGAATAGCTTGAAACTCATTTAATTAAGACGTGTCTTTTTGTGCGAAGATAAATAAAAAAAGAAATACAAAAGTTCTATTTAGAGTTTTATGAAAATCACTCTTTTTGTGCTTTTCACGTTTTTTTCACTTATCAGCTTTTAGTGGTTAAATCTATTACAAGGAAAAAAAAACAAATTTTAATCTGCCAAAATTAGAAATAACAAACAGACCGCACAGAAAGACGCATCAAACAGAGCCGAGGTTATTGTTCTAGATAGTAATCTTCATCCATGGGCTCTCTCCTCTCTGCGTGTCATGTGCGGACCTGAAGTCTAAAGACTAAGAGTGAAAACAAGGTGTCTGGATCCGGGCCTATGTTAATGTGGCCCCGGGCCTCTGGATCCGGGGGGTTTTTTATTTGCCACGTAGTTATGCTTTTTACCTGATGGACCCACCTAGCCCATTAAGTAGGTAAGGAATCAGCATTAACGCATGAGTCCGACTTCGTTTTCCCCTTTCTTTTTCGAGTCTACTTTATTCAACCATCTTTAGCCCATCAGGGATTTTTTTCCTAGACAGAAAGATGTTCCATGTGGCCAACCCAAAAATCAAAGTGACCATTGGATTTCTGACACGTGTAATGATCATACAACAGTTTCATCCATGTCAATCCCATTCTCTAACAATGCCCTGCCGCATCATGTGCAAGATGCAATGTGCAAAACTATGTCGATATTTAGGTCTTATTTGGTACATCTTTTCGTACTGTTTGTCAACTATTTACAAGTTTAATAGATTGTGATTTAGTTTGTCCTGTTTGGTTTGTAATAGATATAGCCATTAAAAGCTAATATATCAAGAAGATGCAAAAAACCTAGAACGAACAATTTTCGGAAAACTGATATATTTGTCTTTACACGGAAAAACACATCTTAACCAAATGAATTTTAAGCCGTTCAGATCTTAATGCAAAAATTTAATATATCTTTTAATTATCAAAACTATCAGTAGATCTTCTCAAAAAGACTTATCAAATAACATTTTAATTATTTATAAATAATAATAAAGAATTGAAGACAACAAGAATGAACACCAAACTAGTTGATCAAAAAGACTAATGCCATGTCAAGTGAAATCTCCGAATAGGTGATCTTTTTTACTCTAATAATTTATGACGAAGTTTCAATACATGATATTATCAACTGTCTCCAGCGACTAGGAATATTATTTTTTTAATGTTCAAGGTATGAACTCTCTCATTCAAGGGATCAGCTTTGTAATATAAGAAGTAAATAATCAAGTTTAAATGATGGGAAAGAAAGATTGAGAGAAACAATATAAACCCTTACCCTTTTTCTCCAAAATGCTGATTGCAGGATTCGATTTCGCATAAACGCTGAAACAAATCAGCTAACATACCAACCAGCCAGCCCTCGGTTGGTTACCTTGGCCGTTGATTATTATTGGACAAATTATACACATTTGAATCCACATTAACATAGACAACCAAACAACCTTCAATCCTACATGGATTTATGCAACTGTATTCTTCTCCATGCATGTTATAAGATAAAATTGGGCATGTATTTTCATGGCTGCCSTGTTTGTAGGGCAACGAAAGCCAAGATTTATATAAAATTTGTTTTTACCAGCACTTCTCTTATTTTTTATATCGAAAGAAAAMAAAAATACTTTGACCAATTAAAACTCCTCATTACCTGATTGGTTATCACTTATATGATGTCAGTTTTTTTTTAAGGATACTTTTACGATGCTAGTTGATTGATTATAAGTTTTTTTTTTTCCGGAATCATGTCCTAGTGAAACTCTAAGATGAATGAAAGTACTCGCTCAAGAAGATTATAATATTGTTCTGCGCGACAAGGATAAAAAAATTGTTACGTATCAGCCAATACAGGTCGGTACATATCATTTTCGGACCTCTCCGATACACCCCTACAGTTGGTGTATCGGGGGTCTGACCGGTTCAGGGGGTGGAAGAGTCTAAAACCGCCCCCTTTCCACCCCCTGAACCGGTTTTGAAAAAAAAATAAAAAGAAACTAAAAAAAAAGCTATCGATATTGCCCGATACACCCCTATCGGCGTATCGGGCGTACCGATATTTTGAACCTTGCTCCGCGAGGCCAGAGGTAGAACTTAGACTCTTTTTTACAGTCATTTACTAGAATACCCCTTATAGTTTCACAGATTTGCTTAAACATATCCTATAGTTTTCATTTTACTAAAACTCTCCCTATAATTTGCAATTTATTTACTTAACTAACTTTTCACTAAAAAGTGTTTGTTTTGCCATTTGAAAATAGTAACATGATAACCTAAAGTGAGTGGAAAATATTCAAGGGGCATGGTCCATGATTGTTTATTCCAAACACTTAATTGTACAGAAAACAAAATTGACCAAATATAGCCAAATAAAATGATTGACCTGTGTCTTACTAGGGGGCAAAATAGTATTTTCATTTTTATTTTCTTTTAACTAAGTTTACTTAAATTGACGTTAGAGTCAAAACTGTCATTTTCCACTATCATTTGATGGAAGGTCGATTATTGCAAACTATAGGGAATGCTTTAGTAAAATGCAAACCATGGAGTAGATTTTAGTAAATTCATGAAATTATAGGTGGTTTTTAGTAAATGACACTTATTTATTATTTCTTTCTCTTTTTGTTTTTCTAGAATTAGAACTTAAATGCATTTATGGTCATTATTAAGAATATAGGACAAAACTAGGAGAATAAGAGATCGATTAAAACAGTTCAACATATTTGTCTTACTCTTACAAACACTTTCATAAATGAAATTTTAAGAGATGCATATGAGTATACTTGAAAAAGGCAAGAACTGGGTCTCATCCGATTAGACCCAATTATACTTGACATCAAGGTTTTCGAACGGCCGTTGACCCGGATGGTTGGACCATTCGGAGCGGGAATTGTCCAGGCAATCGCTTCCGTTTTACCCCAAACTCGGTATTTGGCCCTGTTGAAAAGGTCAACAACCCGTTGATCCGGGTGGTTGAACCGTCGACCCATTGACCCGTTCAACAGTTTTTAACCGTTTTTTATTTTAATTATTTTTTAGTTTTTTTAATTTGTTTTTCAGAAYGGGCCGTCCATTCAAACCGAACAATCAAACCATCGACCCGGAAACTGGTGGCCAGAACGATTATGTTTTCGGATCGTTTTTTAAAACGTTGATTGGCATTTAATTACCTATAATATGACAAATTGGAATTTCATTTTTGATAATATAACCTTAATAAAAATGACAATAAATAGTAAAAAGTGTTATTTACTATTTACACTCTTAAATTAGTTAAATATAACTGATTATCCTATATACTGTTTATGAAATTTACACTTATAAACATGAGCTATAACAAAAAAAAATTACAAGAAAAAACAAGATAGAATAGAATAGAAAAAAACAGTCCCGACCCAATTATAATTAGGATAGAATATTTACCACCAAAATCCGTATAATTGGTTCAGTTCTATTAGATAAATCCGACCCATTGACAGCTCTATGGATATAAATAAACAAGGTAGAACACATGAAAGAAACATGCTTTTAACGATTTGTACGAAGTAATATATTGCAATCAACATATATTAGTCACGAACCAATTGCAATTTACACGTATATCTATACAAATAGAAAATACATATAAATTCATTATAATTTGTAAATTTAACTCTTCTTTAGATAATTTATATAAAATTTTAATGATCCCACTATTATAAATTACTATGCATGATGCATTCGAAATTAAAGATGATTAAACCCTTTGCAAATTAGCATGTATAAATAATAAATTAATAATAGGTTATATTAAAAGTAATACATGGGAAGCAGGAATCCACAAATAAAGTCAACTTAAATAATCCATATATAATCTATTTATATGAACCCCTTCTCTATTAAATGTTCGGATTGGATTATTTTTCCAAGTGATGTTATGGCTTTAAAGGTTTTTAATATAATAAAAGACTAGCAGAGGGGGCCCTACGTTGTAGAGGCTCATTCATAAATTATCAGGTTCGAGTTCGATTCGAATTAGATATTTAAGTTTGAGTTCGAGCTTGGCTTGAGGTAAAAGCTCGGAAGTTCGAGTTCGGCTAACTTTGATTGTAGGTCTATCAAGCAGTTGAGGTGTCGAGCCGAGGTCTCCCTCAATTGCCCAGGTGCCAAACCAAGGTCTCCCTCAGCTGCTAAAGTGTCGAGCTGAGGTTTCCCTAGCAGGTGAGGTGTCGAGCTAAGGTATCCCTTAGTTGACAAGGTGTCGAGCTGAGGTCTCCTTCAGTTGTCGAGGTGTTGAGCCGAGATCTTCCTTAGTGACCGAGGTGCCGAGCCAAGGTCTCCTTCAATGGTCGAGGTGTCGTCTAGCTCGAGCTCGATTTGAATTGGAGACTTGAGCTTCAGCTCAGAAGCTCGAGCTCGGCTTGGCTCAAATTCGACTACATTTGATTGCAGGTCCCCTAGCAGCCGAGATGCTAAGCTGAAGTCTCCCTTAGTTGGAGAGAGAGTGGCATTTTTATAATTTACAAGGAGAGAGAGAGAGATGGCATTCTTGTAATTTGTAAGAAAAGAGAGAGAGAGAGAGAGAGAGAGAGAGAGTGTCATTCTTGAAAGGGTAAATCTCTTAAACAACCCCTACTATTTAGCGTATTGACACATGGTACCCTTACTGTTTAGCTATTGTCTTGCGGTACCCTTGAGTTTTCTGACAATTGTCATCGTCGTTAAATTAGGACGAGAAAGTTGATTTTACATTTTTACCCTTCCGTTAACTCTCACTAA